AGCTCCACTGCAAACACCAGTTGGGGGGACTGAAAGCCAGCCCAGCTCCATCATATCCTGTAAAAAGCAAGTGACTCCAGCAGATGAGATTTTTAAAAGGCATTGAAATTATACCTGCAGTCAACTGCTGACTTGCCATCTTGTTGTGGGTGGATAAACACAACTGTCCCTCTCAATTAGGTGTGCAGCTGCACTTACCAGTCAATTACTTCCAAAGTCATGCTGAAACTGATAACATCAGCACACAGATGAGAGAAAGGACAATAAACAACCAAAGCAATCTTATTAGGAATTCACTATAGAATAAGGGTTAAGAATGGGAAAAGAACTCCAGAACTCCAAAGTCAGTTCCATTACAGAATCCCAAAATATAAGAAAGTACAAATAAACTGGGTAAAATTAGCTGCAGCATTGGTTTAAATGAGCACAAAGACAGCAAGAAGAATACAGAGAAAAAAGCTAAACCAAGTAAAATTTCAAAGTTACAGCAGCTGTGACAACACGAGAGCTTTTCCTTTGCAGCAACAGTTCTTTACCAATGATCGTCTCCACGTATTCCGAGTTGTCGTTGACATTGAAGAGGTCACCAGCTCCCAGGGCATAGTTCAGGGATTCCTCAAAGGCTCCCAGGTGGTAAAAAACTTTAGAAGCAACCAGAGCAGCAAACTGGCGGCTCCGAAACCCTTCGTCTTCGTAGAGAACTTCACTGCAGAGGAGGGAGAGAAGAGCATCAGCTCTGGGTGCTCAGATCTTGTTAAGGACAAATGACTCAAGTACAAGCTTGACTGAACTTGAATCTTTGGGACCACAGCTCCAACCCCACAACCACACACATCAGAGATTTCTAGGAAATATGGAGCTACATGCTGTATTAACCATTGTCAAGAAACCAGAACTACAGCCACTTCATATCCCATGTTCTTTTTAAGCACTATTAAGTGTCTTCTCTTACATTTTGTCCACTGACTCAGAGATTTCTGCCCAGAAGTCATTGACAACAGCATTCAACTTGTGAAGAGCAAACTCCTAAAAAAACCAAAAAAGGTAAAGTTATATTATATTACAAATGCATTTACCACCTTTTCCCAGTAAAAATGAAGTAGATTCTATGATGAATATCATGAACACTGACCCATTTCAACAGGAAATTCTATTTTAAAAGATCTTTGCAAGCATTCACTAATCTTTGCAAGTCCTTTGCAAATAAAGAGCTGTTCACTTCACAGGTAAGACAACTCTAGCATTCCCTTCCATGGCCTCTCTCTGATGAATGACTGGCTGATGTGTCTGACAGATGAAATTGTGACAACCTTTGTGCAGCACATGGAATCAACCTGTGGCCTGCAGCAGCCAACTCTATTTATCTGTATGGACACAGTACTTCAGATGATAAACAAACCACAATCAGCCCACTTGTAATCAGCTCACAGCAAAATCAGGGATCATTCAGATCCATTACTACCTATGTGTGCATCCAAGAAGAACAATTAGGGAATTACAAATATTGAAAAGTGCATGTTCCAACACCACCACTCTCAGTGCTGATCTTCTGTGGATTCATACCCTCTGTGCCCTGGAAAGTTTCTGTTGCTGTTTTCTTCTTGTTGCATTATTACTGTGATTTTTTTCCAAGTGAAAACTTGAACTGTGATTTTGTTCTACATTGGTTAAATTATTCTAAAAACCTGAGCTGTTCTTCAGCTTTGAATTTTACATAGTAAAAATGCAGCCCCTGGAACAATTTTAAGTAACAAAGCCCCATTACTACCAGAGAGCTTTCATCAATAGAGAATTTTGCATTTGAAGCTCAGTTTGATCCATGCTCAAAACAATGAAGTTTTCAATCTGTTATCATTTATTCATTTATCATTATTATCTTTCTTTTAGCTTTCAGGCTAGATACAGTTTGGTGCCCACATGCTGCTGCCTAACCATGAATTACTGAGATCTGCTCCTTTTTTATTTTAAGCTCTCCACATAATGCATTTGCTGTTACTTGCTCTCATATGTAAGAGCTTACCTTGAGCTGTGGCTCTTCTTCATCCAGAAGAGAGATAATTCCAGCTGCAAAACAAAATCATGGTTACTTTTGGTTTCTCTGTATCAAAAGTAAGCTTGTCATTTAGTTTAAAACCAACAGAACAGGAAAGAAGGCTGTCTCTGGAACACCAATTTTAAATGTTCAGTACAAAACTTCAAAGGTCAGATTCAAGTTTGTATTAAATATAATGTAAAATAGTTCAAAATTTATAACTGGAAAGGTACATTATTTATAAAAGGTGATCCTTCCTAGGGGAAAACAGAATTTTTCCATGCCAAGGAAACTGGCCTCATGGATGAGGTGAGATGTACCTCACAGCTTTGTGCTTTTGACTGCTGATCCTGTCCCAGAACATTTGTGCAGTTACAGAAATACTGTTTAACTGACATGACTGAGGTTCAAGGGATAGGTGGTTTCATTGCCAGACTGCAAAGATGCAATGGAAAGGGCTGGAATATGATCTGATCAAAGTCCAACACAATTCACTGCTTTAAATCTTTAATCTGTTGTACAGCTTCTCTAAATCTGAAAAAAAACACATGGAACTGGAAAGGCCAGCAAGCCTTGGGAGGGCTGAACTGGGCTCCCAAAAGATCCTGACAAATCCAAAGGAGCAGGTCCAAACCAAAATGTACAAACACAGACTCTGAACAGTACAGGGGGTTAAGATAAAATATGAGCAATAATATCATCTGGCTGCAGTGGGAGGCAGAGGAGCCAAACCTCACACAGATGTGTAAGTGAGAGCAGTTCCTGGCAGCTCCATGGGGCACCTTCCCCTGCCCGGTGCTGGCACCACGTGTGAGCCATGAGCAAAGCAGGGGGCTGGGAACAGGAGCCCTGGCAGCAGCTCCTGCCTGGAGGCTCCCAACAGACACCTGGGGAGGGTGCAGGGCAGCTCCAGCAAGAAGGGAACCATCTGATCCTCGTGTCAGATATTAACAGGAAGAGTAACACAAACTTTAGTGAAGCATCAGAGAGGGAGGTTTGATGATCTGGAAAGTTTTCTCACAAGAACACATTTATTCCTTTGCCTAATGAAGCTGAGGATCCTCAGTCATCGGGAATTGTTCCTAAAGACCAGCTTAGACACACATCCATCAGTAACAGGAATTGAAGGAACACCACTCTTGGGCAAAGAAGGAACATTCAGCAGCCATCCCACTTCCAGCTCCTTCCAGCTGTTTCCTGCATCTCTGCACCAAATGTCTGCTTCGGGATTTCATTATTTTTATTATTATTTTAAATAAGTTCCTGCATTTACCTGATCTGTCAGGAGAATGCAATCTCACTCCTACACACCACCTACATACCCCACTCCCACATACCATTTTTACATTTTTTCAACGCCTCTAAAATTAATTCCTACTTTTCCTCAATTAAAATAAAGACTTAAACAAAGGGTTCAGAAGAGAAAGCTCCCTGGACACTGTCACCCTCTGCTTGGTTTTTCTCGCCAAGCCACAACCAGCCGCATGCTCATCTCGGGCCCGAGTATTTCTGGAAACAATTCCTCTGTTTTTCTCTGCTACCAAGCTCCCAAAAGACGCACGAACACGGCGAAACCTCCAGTGCTCACACGCTGCACCACCCCGCGCTCCTCACCCCGGCCTTTCCCCCTGCCAGCTCCCTGCCGCCCGGCGCCTTCGCACCGAAATGCGCCGTTCCCGGAGCCCGCACCGCACCGGAGCCCCGGGCGGCACCGCCAGGAGACGGGCACGGCACCGGCCTCAAGAGGAGCCGCTCGTGCCGGCCTCTCGCTGCCGTCCGGGGTGCGCGGGGCGCGGAGCCCCGCGGCGGTGCTCAGTCACGGCCCTGACTCAGCGAAACCCCGGCGCACACCGCCGCCCCGCGCCGCCGCCTCACCGGCCGAGGTGATCATGGTGCCGCCCGGCTGCCCTCGGAGGGGGGCTCGGGGAGGTCCGAAGGCTCCGGGGGGGTCGGGTCGGCTCCGCTCCGGCCCAGCCGCGGTTCCGCCGCCGCCGCCGCTGCCCGGCCCGGAAGTGCAGCCCAGGGCCCCTTCCGGCGGCTCCGCGCTGCGCCCGGGAGAGCTGCCCGTGTGATCGCCTGCGCGGGACGGCGGGGAAACAGGCAGGCGGGAGCGGGGCAGCCCTGCCGCCGGGGGCCTTGCACCGTCGGCCGCCCCTCACGGACACCCCGGTGCCCCTCACGGACACCCCGGTGCCCCTCACGGACACCCCCGCGCTCCTCACGGACGCCCCGGCACCCCGCGGGCCTCCCGCGGCTCCCCGCAGCCCCCACGGGCTCCCGCGCCCGCCTGCGCGAGCGGGACCGGAGCTGTGAGCTCCCCGCGAGTGACCCCGCCGGTGCCCCCTTTGTGCCGTGCCCAGAGAAGGCTGCTTCCCCCGCCCGGACAGGCCGGGCATCTCTAGGGGCACAGCGTGTCCCGTGGCAGTGCAAGGAGCAGCGATTTTGTCCCATGGGTTTAACGCATGTGGCACAAGACGGATGGGATGCCCAGGCTGGTGGATTTGCGCCAGGGAAAGTCCAGGAAGAAATACCCAATGAAGGGCTTGAATTCCTCGAGGATGCATAATGGTATCAGTCAGTGAAAGTTATTAATGAAAGTTACTAATGAAAGCTTACCAGACCCCTGCCCGCGATGCCAAGAGGGGCTGCCCCACTCTTGGGCACCAGGGGAGATGTCCTGCCTTCTCCATTGCCCCACCTGGGCTGCACTCAGTTCTGGATTCTGCATTTCAGACACTGGGGTCACTTCCATTCCATCCCAATAGCCAGTTTTTTTCAAGCCAAGATAAATAAGAGTTAAGCTATACATAATGCATAACACCATGGCAAACAAATAAGCACATTCCAGTTTGGAAATTAAGTGTCTTTATTCAACAAGCCAGTACTGTCAGTATCTTTCACGTTATTCTTGCCACTCCGGCTGGGCTGTTGCTGCATTCTTCATGTTACACTGTTACATTCGAGCATCTTTCACGTTATTCTTGCCACTCTGGGCTGTTGCTGCATTCTTCATGTTACACTGTTACATTCGAGCCTTTTCAGTCGCTGGTGGATCCCAGAGCTCGCATTTAGTCCCACTGCAGTCTCCAAGCCACTCTGTTACTTGGCTGGGGGGGATTGTGTGTTTTGGTTTGGTTTGGTTTGTTCTGTTCTGGTCTGGTTTTTGATCACAAAGAGGGTGAGAACTTCCAAGCACCAATAAAGCAGGAAAACAAGGCAGCAGAATCAGTCTGCCAGGGAGGCCAGCCCCAGCAACCTCAGCAGGGAGCTTTGCTCAGAATCAGAAAACATTTCTCATTCTTCAAACAGGCGGCTGCATTTCACACTCAAAGTCCCAACGTCGGATTGCCCGGGCTGTGAGCTACATCCCCAAAGGGCTTCTCAGAGGCCCAGTGTCCAGCTGCAGCTCCAAGTGCCCCGGGGCAGCAGGGAATGGCTCTCTGGCACAGCCCCTCAGTGCTGCTGGCAGCTCAAAACACCCTGACGAGTTCAGCCAAGCAGCTTTTCCCTGGAGCTGTGTGTCCTTGGAGGAGAGGGCCTGCACCAGCTCCTCCTCCCCTTGCTCCAAATCCCCTGGGCAGGTCTGGGCTGTGGACTGTGCTGGATGCCCAGCAGCTCTAGGTGCCTGTGCCTCCAGCAGCTTCTTCACAGTTCCCATTGGGGGAAAGGCTGGCCAGAGCCACTTCTTCCTCAGGGTCCTGCAGGCCATCTGCAGGGAGCAGAGAGAGTCAAGGCAGACCTGAGTGGAAAACCCCTCCTTCCCAGAAAATGCAGATTAAGATGAAAAAAAAGCATGGGCTGAATCAATTGATATATACTCACAACATAAGCACAGCTGTTTTTTCAAAACTGATTTTCATTTTGCTTTACAAACTTAACATTGCTTCAGCAAATAGAGCAAAGGGGCACAGGGCCTAGCTCCTGGCCTCCTGAAGTCTCAGCAATCTCAAAACAAATTGCATGACTGACAGCAAGATCAGGCACTTCCATTTTCTGACCGTGGAGAGTGGGTCTCACAAGCCTCCTATGTCTCACATGTCTCAAAGCTGCATAAATTGGGCATTCATTTCAATTGTTTTGTCTGACTCTTATGCTCTTTAAGTATTTTTTATATTTAAGAGGCATTTGGACTAGGCCCTTAATAACATCCTTTAAAATCTGGCCAGCCCTGAAGTGGTCAGGCAATTGGGCTAGATGATTATTGTAGGTTCCTTTCAAGTGAAAATATAACATTCTATTCTATTCTAGTCTAGTTTAGTCTAGTCTAGTCTTTCTTTTTACAGTGAAGGAGCTTCTTTGTGCTTCATAGTACAACCTGGATCTCCACACCACAAGCCCTGTAGCCTCCTGCATGAGGCACTCCTGCAAAAAGAAAGTCACTGCTGGGAAGTACAAGCCAAAGTGCCAACCATGCACACAGGCTGAGTGCTATGCTGTGTGTTACCTGAACAATTTCCTTTAGAATCAGGGAGCCCATGGCTTACCCCTCTCCCTTCTCTCTGCCAGCCCCAAAAGCAAATGTTTTGGGAACACTCCTTCCACCCATGTTTGCAGAAAACATCACATATCAGGGTGCTTCCAATTAATTGATTAGATAGAGAGTAGTTCTGCTTCCAGACATTCAAACAAAATGCAGCTGAGTTCAGCAGTGCTTCCAGGCATGTATTTGGGCACCAGACTCAGTGTGATTTTGTTTAGACAAGCAAAAGGTCAGAAAACAAGGAAATGGCAACAAAGCAGATACATATGCTGGTTGTCTTCAGGTTTGGGCTAAACCATAGCCAGGGAAGCAAGGTCAACTGCGGAGGTGGAAGTAGCTGGAAGAGGCTACCAGCAAGGGGCTTGGGCACCAGAACCACCAGGGAATCATGAGGAACTTCTGACAATCACAACAGAGTGCAAGGAGGGAGCTGGGCATACCTTCATGAATGTTGTTTTCAGCTTTTGCTTTGTAATCTTTTCTGCAGCTCCTCTGGTTCCAAGAAATGCACTGCAGAAAGGATGGCAACCTCCACCTCTCCCTGTCTTTCATGTCTTCTGAATAAACCAGAGAAGATGAGTTCAGACTGGTAGCAGGTCAGCCCTGCTTCTTCTTCACCTCTCCCTCCATGAGCCTGGCAACAAAACCAGGTCCTAACAACAAAACCAGATCCACTCCACAAAACCCACCACTGGAAAACACAGAGCAACGGCTGGCAGTCCTTATTTTTGGCTGAAACTTCTCTGCTACCCTAGAAATTTGTCCCTGGTGTCAGTTTTTACTTTGCCACCTTGCTGGCAAAACCAACCTGGATGTGGCAGCTGAGAGTGAGCAAGAAACCTGTCAGGAGCTCAGCTGGCACACGTGGTGAGGCTGGGGACTGACACAGTTAGAGAATTCCCACAGAAGGAAGTTTTCCTTTTGCATTGTCGCACAGCATCTACCACATTAGCCTGTTTACTGCTCCCTGCTTTATTAAGCAATTCCTCCCTCCCATGGAGGCCTGCTGGACATGGGGCCTTGCAGCAACACACTGAAAACTGCAGCTGTAATTGCTTGCAAATTGCAGGGAGCATGTGGTCAATGTATGGTAATTATTCTAGAAGACAACAAAGTTACTTTGTTGTAAGACTTTCCAGCCATTTTAGTAAAAGACTACAGCAGCCTGTAAAATACTACAGCAGTGTAATTTTATATGGTCTCCAAGAGCAGCAGTTCAGTACCCCCATTGAAATATCATCCAGCCTTTCACCTCCTAATCAGATAACAAATGACAAACCATTTCAGTGTCCTTCACTTTATCGAGCCATTGCGACACTAAAGGGCTCAGTGTCTTTCTGACAGTCAACAAACAAAAAACTGCAGTGCACTGCCTGGGGTGCACTGCCTGAAGTGTTCAACTGCTCTTTGGAGGCACAGCTACGCTTGGGATCCCTCTGTCCAGGTGGAGGTTTTGGGAGGCAGAGCTCACAGAGGCATGGAAAGGAGCTGTCACTGCCTAAGGTTGAACTCTGAAGGTGATGAGTGTCTTCATTGCACACACTGGGACACTTCCATGACTCAGAGCACCAGGCAGAACATCAGAAATGAGTGAGCACACACAAGCAGGCTGTAACACCCAATCCAGCTCCTCCTGCTTCTCATTCTCCACAGCCAGCCACAAAAATACATATACTGAGCCAAGCACCAGCAAAGTGCCAAGGCAGAAAAAGGTATGCAGGGATGATTCTGCAGCTGCTCTCCCACCAGACTGCTGCAACGAGAACTGGAGGATTCACAGGTGTCTGGGAGCACACCAGAATCTCTTGCAGCAGGAACAATGTGAGGAAGACAAAAGCATGTGAAGGAGAGAAGCTGGAAAGAGGATTGTGTGTGCCTCAGTAGATAGGTGGCAGAAGACAGCTCTGTGCCCTTGCCACCAGCCACCTCAAAGCTCCTCAACATTCAGATCCAGGATTCTGGGCTGAGCCTATAGAAAGAAGCACCTGAACTGCAGCCAATCACCCCCATGTCCCAGAGACCCCAGGAGACCCTGTCAGCCCTGTGGTGCTGAAGGCAAGTGGCATGATCCCTCAAGATAAAGCCAGCAAGACAGCAAAACACCCAAGCCCCTGGAAATGCTGGGGAGCAAGGTAAAAGTGGGAAAAAATGAAAGAAGGGAGGAGGAAAGGGAAACAGCCCAAGACAAACAGTGCCAAAGATTAAAGTGTTTTATGTGGCAGCTGCAAGAGCAGAGCCTGCCCAGCTGCCCAACACCCCACACTGACACACAAACCCAACTCCCCTTTCACCCCAGGGCAAATGCTGTTCCTCAGGCCTGGCTGACACCCAGCTTTCATCCTGCCATCCTCACACTGACGTATCATTTTACACACAAACAACTACTTGCTTTTGTTACTTATTCATTATGCAAAATCAGCACAAACATCCTCCTCCTGCAGGAAGGTCAGGTCCTGCCCGCAGCCTGTGGCACAGGCCACATCCCAGTCCTGCTTCCCCCAAGAACACACATCCAAAAAGCATGGGTGGCCACCATGTAATGGATGGCCACAATGTCATGGCTGTCAGCTGCCATATCCCTGTTACCCATGTTTGTCCGCTCTGACTGGCAGGTCTGGGAACCTCACCAGGAAGAGGCAGATCCCATTGGAAAGGCTCTGATCCCACCAGCATGAAAGAGATTTCATTGGGAAAAGGCAGATCGGATTGTGGGTCTGTAAAGATCCCATCAGTAGTGAGTGGTCCAATCCCAATGGGAAAAGCCAGATCCCGTTGGGTCAGGAGAAGCTCCCATCAGGAATTGTCAGATCCTAATGGGAAAAGCCTGACCCCTTTGTAGGGGAGATCCCATGAGGAGAGATCAGAAACCATTAAGGATGGGGTAGATCTCACTGAGAAGGGGAGGATCCCACAGGAAAACGGAACAAATCCCACCGTAAAAACCGGGCCCCGGGTGTGGCAGGGAGGGAGGGCGGAAGGAAGGGGTCCCCCAGCCCTGGTACCTGCGGGGTGCTGCAGGGCAGCCCGCAGGGCGCGGCAGGCGGCGGCACGGCAGTCGCCGGGGCTGCCCGGGCTGTACCGGGCCGCCTGCACCGTGCCGGGCGCCGGGAAGTGCCGCCGCAGCGCCGCGTCCAGCACCGCCGCGTCCTCCCCGTCCCCGCCGGGCAGCAGGACGCCCACAGCGCGGGCGCCGCTGGGGCCCCCTCCGCCACCTCGGCCACCAGCAGTACTGCCCGCCGGCCGCCCGCCCGCTCCACCAGCGCCCGCAGCTCCTGCAGGTCCGCCGCCGCCATCCCCCGCCGTGCTCCCTGTCCGGTCCGCATCCGCATGTGCCCCGGCTCCGCACCGCCCACTGGCCCGCACCCGCCCCGCCACTCCGCACCAGCCCCGGCCCGGCGCAGAGCAACACTCCGGGGCAGAGAGGTGAGCGGGTATCGAGGATCCCCCCCGCTTCCAGCCTCCTCCCGGACCCGCACAATCCGGCGGGGTGAACAGCCCCTGCCTGCTGCCGGGTGGCACAGCAGAGGCTAGTAAAGAACCCCGGATCTGCCACACGATCAGACTAGAGCCCTCGCACAGGCTGGTCTTCTGACCAATGAGGAGTTGATAAAATTCAGGCAAAAAACTGCACTGTGGAAGGGCTCAAAATGTGAGAAGGGGATGAGGAGAGGCCGTGGTGGCTGCAAAGTAGGACACACAAGGTTATGAGAGAGGAGCAGCTGATCATGCATCCCCAAGGTGTTCCCTATGATGTGGCACCTCAAACCCCAGAGCAGCAATAGAGTGGCCTCTCTGGCATCACGTGCACTATGCTGCTGCACAGCCTGGCCAGGCTACAGCCACCCCTGGAAATGATTCTTCTTTGGGAAAAAATTACACCCTCAAAGGACATACCCACCCCACTAGTCACAAGTGCGTACCTGAGTTGCAGTCCCCACACCACATGCTGCATTTCTTAGTCCACATCCCAAGCCAGTGCCCTTTGACTTGCCCTCTGCCATCTCCATGCAAAACACAGCCTGCAGTCACAAGCATCAACATCACTACATCCCATCAAAGCACATCAACTTTCCAGGGATATGTGTGGAGCTTTAGTCAGGGCTTCTGTGCTGGCACTTGTTACACATATCTCTGCCAGCCAACAGTGAATGAAAGCCATTGTGCCCAGCCACTTGCATGGGGAAGTTCCAATCCATGGCATGCAGTAAAGTACTTCCCCTGTGCCATATCAGACCAGGCTCCTCCAAACCAGTAACATCTTATCGCAAGAACCTGGGAAGGGATAAACAGCTCAAAGGTGTAAACGGCCAGAGTCACCTTGGCCAATTGCTCTCTGAGAATTTTTGGAGCCAAACCATCTCTTGTGGGATGAGTGGAGGAGTCTCTGAGCGTACTGGGTGTGAAAGCAGAAACAAAATCCACATGTCTGTCCTCCATCAGTGATTCCCAACATGCGTGTTAGGATGCACTCAGCCACAAATATGGCTGAGCCATTGTGCCTGCTGCCTGCCCATACTCATGGCCATGTGTCCCCAAAGCCCAGCAGATCAGCAGCCACAGTAGCAGGGATGTGCCACAGGCTGATCCCTGGCACAACAGCACTGTGGCAGCTTGGGAAGGTCACAGTGTGGCACCAGTTTTAATCCAAGGAAAAGATTTCCCCCAGTATGGCAGGCTTAGCAAACACTGCCCCAGGCTAGTATCATGGATGAGGGCTTCAAGAGAGACTTTCTGCCCTGGGTCCTAGCAAAAGCAATTTACTCATGGACAAGTGCTGATAAGCAAATGGGTCAGGGCAAAAAGAAGAAGGTAAACCAGAAAGATTAGGCTCCTCTTCCAAGGATCAGGGCCTCCAAGAGCCCATGCCCCATTCCAGTGTGGTAGCCCTGAGAATAGCTGTCAACATGGGAGGGCTACAAATTCAGACATAATTCAGTAGCCAGGTCTGGCCTTAGTGTTGCCCGGATTTTGTAAATACAAGGATTTTTTTCTCATCTGTTCAGAAGCCTGTTCATGGTCCTATGGACAAAAGTCCAGGGTATAATCAGCATCATGGGTTGTGTTAGCAGCAGGAGGAGACAGGAACATGTTCTAGTCCCCAGAAACCCTCATCTCTCTGGAAAACTGCCATGAAATCCACAGTAGTTGTGTTAGCAGCAGGAGGAGACAGGACTAATCCCCAGAAACCCTCATCTCTCTGGAAAACTGCCATGAAATCCACAGTGTTTACACTCCTCAGGAGCTGCCAGCACAGCCTGTGGTGTGGTGGTACCGACTAAAGCCTGATGTACAGCATGGCTCTCACAGAGCTCTTCCAGAGCAGCACTGTGCCAGTGACTTGCCTAGAGATGCCAAGATGCCTCAGGCATTGGGAAGCTGGCTTTCTAGCTGGCAATTCCCCAGATTTATGAAGATAATTCTTGCAGAGAAGGTATAGAAAAATTGGAGTTTTCTTCCTAACTCAGGTACACCACTGGCTACTTCTCTGCAGTGGCCTTGATGTTCAGACTGCCAGCACAGCCACTAAAAACTAATATTTGGGACCACGTAGAGCTGTTCTTCATGGCCACTGCAATTCTTTAGTTTATTTTGGGTACACATGCAACACTGCCAGCACAGGCTGGTTGGAAAGGTGAATGTCACCCACCCACCCAAACAACCTTGTTTACATTTCTTTACTCATTAACAGGGGTAAGATGTAACACATACAGCTCCCTGTGTGTTACTTAAAGAGGTACAACTCAAACAGTTCAGAGGCTGTCATGAGCTCAGCAGCATTTGTAGTCCTCCACAAAATGTCTTCAGAGCCCTGTCAGGAATCTGAGCAAGAACTCAGATGTATTTAGAAGACCTGACACTCCATCAAACATCCATCTGACAGTCAGAGTTGTAGAGAATCACTATAGACAGCCCTAAGTGAGGGTCATCACATCTCTTACATATGCTTTAGCTGTCCAGAGCAGACAAAACATCTATTCATTTTTGACTTCAAAAGAGGAATGAAGATGCTTTGTTCAAAGAAACAAATTTGGCATGTGTATTAGTAATGCTTTGAAGCCTAAACAACACAAAAAGGTCCACTGCATTAGAGCCTGCATTTACCAAGATTAACCTTTCTTCTGAAGAGAGTAAAAAGAGGACAGGGATAAAGGATTCTTGTGCCAGTTGTGGTGATAGAAGAGCAGAGAGACTGAATGAGCAAGAAGGAAACCGTAGGAGCTGTTCTGAGCCCGATGTCTGATGACCCAGCCCAGCTCCTTAAATTCATCCTTTCAGTAGCTTTGGTGCTCACAGGGACACTTGGAAAAGCCTCTGAGCCAGCTAGAAGCTGGAACTGGCTGCAGACAAGCTAAGCCTCAGCAAACCTCTGTACATTTGCCCTTCCACTGATTTTTTCTCCAAACTTGCTTCAATTATTACTTTGAAAAACACATCCTTACTATCTAGATGCTGGAAAGCATGTGCTTTACTTGTGTAGCACAACCAGCTGCTTCCAGGGCATTGCTGAAGGGCACCAGCACTCACTGAGCTCTTCAACCATGGAGGCCTCCTTGAGTTGCCCAAAGAAGTAGCAGAGGAGGTAATTGTGAGAGAAGAAAATACCCCAAACTCCACTCCTGCCCCCAACATCCCAGTCTCACTGATTCCCTTCTAGCCTGCCTCCTGTTCACTCCTCCATGGCTCTTCCTGTTTCCTCCTCCACTGACCTTCCCCAACATCCTCTCAATCTTTCTGGCCTCTGAAGCCAAACACCTTCCCACTTTTCACCCACTGCAGCTTGAACTTTGTATCAAACCAGACATGAACCCTTTCTGTGACGAGTTCAGTCACAACCAAATCCAAACTGGATGGTCACACTGTTGTGACCCAGGTCCCCTTGCCCCAGATCCAGCCACCTCCAGGGCCAGCTGAGGCAGCCCCACTTTGGTCCCAAGGCAGCCTGTACCAGCTCAGCCCTGGCCTGGATCCATCCAAGTCATCACAGCCCTCTGGGCTCCACTCAGGGGAGGTTACACACCATAAGCAAATAAAGTTGGGAAGTCCCTGGCACTCCACTTCTGGGACACAGCCTGGCTTCCTGATGGGGAACCTCAAACTTTTTTCTTGTCTCTTTTCTCCAAAATTCTGTTCCGCCTAAAAGTTGCCCATCTCTGCAGTTGTCCTAAGTTCTCTTATGTTTCCTTGAGTCACTGTCCCCATCTGGATGGCAGAGGGGCAAAGGAAGGTATGCCTGAAGAGGAGGATGGAAACCTGGCACAGGGCCATGTGCAGAGAGCCCAAAGTGTCTGTCAGTCCTGGTCACACAATAAGAGGGATGTCCTTCCCTGCCCTCTTAGAGACAGATAGAGCCAGCCTATCAGCCTATTCCACTCCTGAATCCTCCACTGGAAGACGTTAAAGAAGTGGCAATGAATATGAAATCAGACCCAGGGACCAAGCTGCCTCTTCTGGCTGTCCTCAGCTGGATCCTTGCCTTTGGTTTGAAAACAGGACCCACGAGTAGCTGTTCACAGCCACCAGGCTCCATTCTTTCCCAGTACACACGTCTTCAACACCAACAGTCCAGCTTTTCTGCACTTACCTTTTGCAGCACCTCTTAAAAATCACCTCAGACCTCACCAAGCTGGGGGGCAATAGCTGGGACAGAGACACAGTCCCTCCTGCCTCCCTAACCCCACCTTGTGCATTCTCCTACTTCCTCCTCACAAAGACCCTTCTTGGCATGGCCAAGCTCCCAGGTTCTCAGAACTGTTTCCTTTTATAAGGGCAGATCCATAGCATCCCTTGAGTTACTGGAATGAGCAGAGCACATCAGTGTGGATCTGCCTGGTTTGCCAGCCCTGAAAGAGGCCACAAAGGGGTCAGAAGGCCCTTCTCTTCTTCACTCTTAAGATTTCTCTGTATTCACCCAGGATTAGCTGGAGAATGCAGCGAGGGTGCAGCTTGAGAGCACCCATGGATGGCCTTCTGCCTCCTCTCCTCAGCTCTGCGGGTGACCACACTCCTTGTTGTCCCATCCACACATTCCTGTGGCTCTGTCACTTGCCCTTGCAGGGCATCCCTGCGCTCCCAAGCTCTGGCAGGACTTCAGTTTCAGCTCAGAGTTTTTTCCCCCTTTCATCTTGACAGTGCCCCACATCAGCCTGCACAGAAGTGCCTGGACAAAGTGCACACATGCTGCCAGAGGGAAAACTTGAGATCTGCATGGACTATGCCTGGATTTGGGTGGTTATCTGTGTGTTTCAAATGCTACAGGAAATAACAGAGATAGAGGACCTCATTGTGGCTTTTTGCTTTAAAGGTGTCCTAACATGCTGATCTTTTAAAGCCAAACTTTCTTTACACACAAACAGCCTGAACATGTACATGTCTTGCTTTGACTCAAGGGAAGTACTTCTTCATTAGCTTGATCAAAAACCAGTGTCCTCAGTAATGAAAAGCAGAATTAATCTTGTGGAAATGCTCATGGAAAGTCTCTTCCACAACAATTGGGTCACTTCATTCCAAAAGTCTGCCAAGCACCAGCACTACCCAAACACTTATAGCAAGGTTGTTTTGCTTCATAAAGCCACATCCTTAAGGATCTAGAAATAATCTGAATTTTAAAAATAACCTGGAGAATCCTTTCTCTGACAAACATTGGTTTACAGGATCTGCGTTGCCTTCAAATCCCCCCCTTCTGTACCATACTGCACAAACCTGCAGCTTCAGCAAGTTTTGCAGTCTTAGATAAAAGCTTTAAAGCTTATAGATACACACAGACACAGAGAAATTAGATAAATAGCAGGTGTTTAATCCTTTTTTGATGATAATGAAGATCTTAGGATGACAAAAGATCTACAAAAAACACCAGAGAAAAAATACATATAAACTCCCAATGCAAAAAAGTGCAGCTACCTATAGTGCTTTTGCCATGCCCAGAGAGGATGGGAAATGAGTTCAGCTATTAAGTGGGTAATTGGATTTAAAAATATTCTACTGCTCCCACAGTCCCTCCCATCCAAAATAACCCATCCCAGAAACCCAATCTGCTGGATATGTACCCGCTTGTATGCAAGGTCAACTCCCTGCTACAAAGAACCCTGGAGAGCTTCAGGAGCTTTGTTCCTAATGAGAACCATGTACCAAAGATTCCTGCATCCAGGTTCTCCTGGGAAAACATGGTCTGAGGTCTTAGTCTTGAGTTTCTCTCACTATTTCAGTTTTGGGACAGTTTAAAATTTAGAGGCTTCTGGCCTGCTCTGATTCCCTTTCTGCTGACAGTTTCCTTAGGAACAGGTTTCTTAGGGACATTTTGATAATCAAGCAAGGCATTTAATGCAAAGCACAAACCCAGGGACTTTTGATAAAAAAATTCCCAAGGCAGACTGTTCAGCCAATGCAGCAAAGAACTCTGAGCTCTGTGGCAAGGACAGTGCGATGCTGAGGGCGCACTGTCCCCTTCTGGCAGCAGCCACACACTGAATCTCATCCATACAGGTCTAGGCAGACAAGCAAGTCAGCAGGAAGGAAGTGCTCTGCAAAGGGGCATCCAGCAGGACAGTGCTAAAACCAACCTGACAGATTCAGATGCCCAAGGGAATTCATTCTCCATCTGTCTTTGATACTTTCTCTTGCCTGCATTCAGGAAGAACTCGGCAGTATCTGAGCTCCGGGAGTGAAATAACAAATGGCTCCTGGGAGTCGACTTCTAGGGGAAGAACACAAATGATAGAAGAACATCTGACACCATCCTTTCAAAGCTAAGGCCTATGGCCACCCAAAAAAGGTTGGCACATCCCTCCAATGAAGAACTCAGGGTCAGTGAGGCTGTGGAGCAGTTAACATCATCACAGAAAGCTCCAGCAGGGAGTCCGAACTGCAGCTCTTACAGTGAGCAGCATTTCCACTGCCATGTGTGTTTTGGGGCAAGGTAGACCCAACACCATCTGACTTGGAAGAGGGAACACACTTAGCTTGGACACATAGTCCATCCCCATCCCAGCATGTAAACCCTCATTGTCATTTCTGGCTCATATTGCCTGCAAGGTCCAGCTTGTCTTGTATCTGAATCCAGTCACCAAGCACCACTTCTGTCTACACTGTCCCTCAGGCTCTGAGCTTGTTTTTGTGTTCCTCACCCGTGTCTAGCTGTGCTACCCAGTTACCTTCATGGCAGTTCAAGGCTTCTCTCAGTGCCCTACAGGCAGCTCTCTTTGCCTCCAGGATGCCTCCAGGCTGGCCTGGGCTGTAAATTGCAGTCTCTACAGTCAGTTGCAGGGCCCCATCCAGCACACACTGCATTCTCCTCAGCGCTCTCACTGCCTGGTCCAGCTGCTCGGGGGAGTCAGGACGGATCATCACGAGCACCAGCACATGAGGCAGGCAGGGGAGGAGGCTCCTCACATCCCGGACAGCTTCCTCCAGGTGATCCCACTGCATGAGCCTTTTCAACACGCTGGCTTGCCATAGCATAAAAATCAGATGTGGGGGAACCAGGTCTTCCTCTTCCTTTCCCTCATTCTCTGCCTGCTGCGGTTTGTGCTTGATGTCCCCTGTGCCACACAGGTCCCGGGTAAAATCCACCAGCAATGAGGGAGCTCTTGACTCAGCATGGTCCACCTCCATCACCCCTACCCGTCCATTCCGGCCCCCCAGCATGTCCAGGAGGTTGAGGAAATCCCAGGTGGTTCTGTCCACGAAAGAGGCCGGCTCCTTTGATGCCATAGCTTCCTCTCACACGTCTGTTACTGTGCTGCTGAGGAAAGGAGGGGAAATAGCAAAGGCAATTGCACAGCACAGGCTCAAAACAGGCAACACCTGCTGCTCTGAGCAGCCAACGCTGGGTTGGGTGGGACCAAATGAATGCGAGAACAGTTTTGATACAAAGATTCACAAATTGCAGCCATGTGCTTTTTGGGGCTGGACCTCCCAGAAAAAGGCTTTGTACCTTGGCAGTCTGGTACAATAGAAGTGACAGGGGAAAGAGAAGGGATGATTATGTTTTTGAGCTGTCCAGGGATCCCATCAAAGATCAAAGGAGGTCCCTGCATTTTTGGGCATCTTGTATCAAACTCAGGACTTAACTACCTTCTCATCATCAAAACCCAACTCCATGATAAGCACAAGCCTACAAACCTGTTGTTATAGTTCACTTTTCTCAATACATTTCCTCCTCCTCCCTCAGTAATGCTTAAAGCTGGAAATCCCATTCATCCTTCTTTGAAACCAACAGGTCCAACCTACTGGTAGTTGTGGAAGACTAAAAGCCCTACCTGGCCTTGCCCAATATCCCATAAGCTGCAATTTTCCCTATACACATTGAAAAAATGCAGTTTTCCATAGCAAAGGCTCTCCTGCTGTGAAGGACAGCACTGGCTTTTAAGTCTTAGGTCTTTTAAGTCCAGCAAAATAATTTCTAGATCAGAGCTGAGTAGTTGGGTCAAGTTTTTTAATTCCAATTCAAAGTAAAATTTTGATTTACCCAATAATGTATTCTGCACACACAACTACTCCCAACTCTTTCAGAAGAGAATTAGCTGTGAAATACCAGCGCACTGCAGACTTGCAAAGCCAACAGCTCAGAGGGCTCCATGACACACACTGGCAGCAGGGCCAGGCAGGGAGGAGGAAGCTCTCATGCCCTGGGAAGGAGGGACTGCACTGGAGTGGGCTCAAAGCATGGTTGAGCCAACAGAGTCACCTACCTGACCGACTAGGGATGCATTGAAAATGATGGAACTACTTGGTGTACGTGGAACTGCTCTCAGAGGGTATCCACAGGTCATTCTGGGACTGTGACATCAGCAGCAACCATGACAACCTGTACCTGCCTCAAACCTCCCTTTCAACTACCCAGTATTGTGGGGGGTCTTTCAGAGATAAGAAAGAGAGCCTTGCACTTCACGACTCTAAATTCATTTGTCACCACCTTATTGTTCAGCAAAACTAAAAGAATTATGGAAGTGCTGAGAAGATGCTCACTGCCCTACATGACATGCTGGGATTAGGCTGGCCAAGAAAACAGCATTAACACTTGGGCACCACAGTGCAATGAAAATGTGTTTAAATTATTTATACAAAGCAGGCACTACAGGCACACGTGCTGCTCAGAACATGTGGGCTCATTATCAGGGATTCTACCAGAACTACTACTGTGAGATATTGAGAGAGGATTTGCACATGCCAGGATTTAGTATCTCCATCTGTGCTGTCAACTCTGATACACTACTGAGAAAGAGGTCTCCCAAAATTGGTGGAGGCAATAAAACAAGAAATATACAAAATTTAAACAGATTCTCCATTTTATTTTGAATAAAAATTTAGATCCTAGATGGATACAGCATCTGTAAAACACAAAACCAGAAAGAATCACGTTAGAAATCTTGTATTCAAACACAAGTTTTGCAGTTACAATCTAGACCATGAATCTCTTCAACTGCTATAAAAGCAATCCCCAGTTTACACAGAAGAGCGTGAGAATGACTTGCAGCAGCACTTTTCTGGTGGCACAGACTCTGTGGCAGCCAGCCCTCCTGTGCAACAACCAGAGTTCCCATGGCTCTGGATTTCAGGAATTATCTGTGCTGCTCCTACTGTGCTTTTTCTAAGGCACAGGAGGAAGACAGAAAGGAAGGACTGCACCCCTCTTGTACTCCTTTTGACAACATCACTATGAAAATATTACATCACAACTCTGGGTGAGAGACCTAAAAGGACAGTCCCACTGAAGCCCTGTGGCTAAAATGCCAACAGTGGGAACAGGTGGGGGTGGCCATAGCAGGACAGCACTGCCTCAGTTAAAATGTTCAGGAGGAAAGAAAAAAATCAAACAGGTGAAGGAGTAGAAGGGTGCAAAAATATACTGAACAGACTGGTGGAAAAGAAATGAAGGCAGCTTTAGAAAGGGAGCTGAGTCCTGGAACTTGAAGAGCCTGTCCAGACAACCTGAAAAATCAAACAGGTGGAGGAGTAGAAGGGTGCAAAAATATACAGAACAGACTGGTGGAAAAGAAATCAAGGCAGCTTTAGAAAGGAGCTGAGTCCTGGAACTTGAAGAGCCTGTCCAGACAACCTGAGCAAGCACACAAACCCCTGACAAAGAGACAAACCCCCTCAGCACAGGAAACCAGTAAAAAGCCACTCTAGGCTCCAAAACAGTCACTGAGCCACGCTGAACACCCAACAGCAACAGAACAAAACCAGACTTCCAATGCTCCCCCATACGATGTGGAATTAAAAAGCACCCCAAAAACTGCCAATGAATATCTTGCTGCTAAACCACATCCACTCACCACCCGGATCCTGTGTCCAATGGCCTTGGCGGGAAGGTTGGAGCGGAACTTGGCTCGCACCATGCCGCTGTTGCCATGGGCACGCGTCACCTTCCCCCAGATCACGCGGGTCCTGTTGGGTTTGCCTCCGGGGGTTACCGTGTTGCTGGGGAAAAGGAGGCAAAGAACAGCTCAGCAGGGCAGTCACAGCCCTGCTATCACCAGCAGTGACAACATGGTCTCTCTAAGGCACCTCAATAATTTAGCTCCATAGCCATCTTTAATGACAGCAACGTCTACTTTTATTTACTTGTGAAATTTTCCCGGCCTGGGATTTTCACTGCACCCTTCAAAGGCGTAATTACAGCTTGAAATTTATCAGAACTTCCACCAGACAACTATTAACAGCTTACAAAGCTCAGAAATTTGGAAAACACTTTTGCTAATATGATGAAACTTAAAAATCAACAGTATGAAATTGCTGACATCTTATTTCTGCAGACACACTGAAGGCAGGAGAAGAACAGGCCATTGGTATAGATGGCAGAAACTGCCTTAAATGAAGAGCCATGTGCCATGCTGCAAGTGATGGTGGTCAAGTTAGCAGTTTGATCAATTTTATTCAAGGTAATTCTGAACTCTTTCCAAGGAAGTGGAAATAATAAGCAGCTGTTCCCAAGGTGTCTACCAATGGCAGCAGAGCAGAAGTGACAGACAGAGCTCAGACATGGGCACACAAAAGTCAGAAATACAAATTCATCCAGGCTTCACAAAATCACTTTACTGTTTAAGTAACTCAACAGTTCAAAGTATTAAACACAAATTCACCCACCTCAATTTACTCCATCAACCCACCTTCAGTTTTTGTCAATCTTAGGCAACACTTGTTTCTCATCCCACCTGCTCTCTAACACATCATATAATATCATTATCTCCTAGCATTTACAAAACCAGGACAGGACTTGGCTAATTCAGCACAAGAATAAAACATGACTTACTTTTTAGCTTTGTACACGTAGGCACACCTCTTGCCCAGGTAGAAGTCTGTCTCCTGACGGGCATAAACACCTTCAATCTTCAGCAGGGCCGTGTGCTCCCGCTGGTTTCGGAGGCCACGTTTGTAGCCAGCAAAAATGGCCTTGCACCACAGCCTAAAGACATGGACAACATCTGCAAATTACAATTCACTCCCAAGTAACAAAATAAAAACAAATCACAGGCTGTTTCAGCACAGACTAATTCCACACCAGGAAAAATCAGCAGAGAAAACAGCCAACTTTTACAAATCACTGCAAATACTGCATTCAATGAACAGAGGAAAGCTGAGCACGTGGAACACGAAGTATTTCTGAGAACATTGTATTTTCTGCTTGTCATAAAGTCCTGGCACTACTTCATACTAAATTTCAAAAGCTTCAGCATTAGCAGATACTGTTTCCAAATGTCTACTAACACTGATGAGTGAACATTGCTTTTTTTCTACACACCACAGGAAGTCTCCTGCGTTGCAGTAATTGCTGTAGAAGGCATGAGCTGCCCCTGATTTGTACCCTCAAAGGAGCTGAAGCCAGAGCAACAGCCTGGCATCCACTGGGCACAGACACTGCACAGACTCCCCAGCAATTCTTCAGGCTCTGTCCACGTAAAGTCATCATAACAGAATCACGTTAGAAATGAATCCCTACATCCTTTAAGAGAATTCGGTGGCACAACAGAAAATTCACCCATGGGAAATACACGGTGCTCCCTTTACTCAAGAAAACAGTCCATGCCAAAGCTCCACTGAACACTGGAGATTAACAAACTCATACATTTCACAGACATATTTACTGCCAGGCCAGGCAGAGCGTGGCACATCCCAACAGCGACCACAACCAGCTCAAAGACTGCAGAATGGGGACACACAGCTGTGGGCCCAGCGGACACTGGCAGAGGCACACCGCTCACTGCCTCCTGCTCCAGCCAACGCTCAGGAGCGCTCCACAGCGCCGAGCCGAGAGCCACCCGGGCACGCACTCACCTCCCGGTCATGGCGTCCTCCCGCGCACCCGCTCCCGGCAGGCCTGCAAACGACACACAGCCATCAGCCTCGGGCCGGCAGCTCCACCCGGTCCGGCGAGCGCGACCCGAACACCCGGGGGCTGCCCGGGAGCCACCCAGAGCTCCGGGAGCCTCCGTTCCACCCCAGAGCAGCCGCCTCAGCCCCGCTCCAGCCCAGGGCCCCAACCCGCCACTGGGACCATCCGCCGCGCATCGGCGCCATCTGGCCTTGTTCCCGCCCCGGACCGCGCCGTGGGCCGCGCCCCGGGAGCCCCGCGCCCGCCGGCGGCCCCACAGCGGGGACAGCACCCCCGGCCCCGCTCCCGGCCCGCGGCCCCGCTCCGCCTCACCCGCAGCGCCCCAAGATGGCGGCGAAAGAGACCCGCGCCGCGCTGCCTGCCGGGAAACGCGCCGCCAGGCCCCGAGCGGGCGGCCCGAGCGCTGCCGGAGTGAGCAGCACCGGCTTGAGGAAGGCACCGCCCGTGTCCCGCGTCCCGTGTCCCGCGTCCCGTGTCCGAGTGCTCCGGGGGCGATCCCCGAAGGAGAAATCCCGGGAGGGGCGGCCCCAGCCCCGCTGCTCAGGCACCCGGCGGGCAGCCCCGCGAGGCCCCCGAGCTGGTGTTGCCATGGAGACGGGCGGCGCTTCCCGGTGAGGGCAGATCCCGGTGAGAGGCTGAGGGAGCGCGGGCCGCTCTGGCCAGGGCGAATGGAAACGGGCCGCGGCGGTGGAGCGAGCCGAGGGGCCCGAAGAGAGGCAGCGCGGCGGGACAGAGCGGCCCTTGGTGCTCGGGGTGGGCTCCGGGCCCTGCCCGTCGTCCGGTGTTCTCACCCTCAGTCAACCATCTCGGCATTTATTTTACTTCTGATATCGCCTTGGAGGCAGAAAACATATTTCGACACTGAAATCCCTGTAACCAAGTCTCACATTCCTTTATTTTCCTAAATAAGATCTGGAAGTGTGTACTTACCCATTTGCTCACGTCAGGGTTGTTCACTCTCGATTTCCGTCATTTCCCTCACACTGCCAGAAATTCGGGTGCATTTTCAGAGCACTTGAAGTGATTCAGAGGAAGGAAGGTGAAGGGAAGGGAAATCTTGAGGAACCTTGATGATCCCTTTCCTTTTCCCTTTCCATCCCTTTCTTTCCCTTTCCCTTCCTCTTTCTATTTCCTCTCCTTTCCTTGCCCTTCCTTCCCCACCCCCCTTTTTTTTCCAAAAAGAGCACCTTGCTGCCCTGGTATTTCTAGCAGGAGGCAGAGCTGTGTAAGGTAAGGCCACACCTTTTTTGCTTTCCAAGAGACCTGTCTTTGGTAAAAATGAAGTTACTTGTGATTTCTGGCTCAGCTGCTGCTCCTCTGGATATTCAGAACCTCTCTTTGCCAAACAGATCTAAAGGAGATGTGACATTCTCAGCTATGCATTTTCTCACTGGGATTCACTGGAGTCTTCTCTTGACTGCAAGGAATGCTGCACAAAATGCTGCTCTTGAATCCATTTTCCTTTATCAGGCAGCAGGGTGGGAGAATTGTCCATCCAGGACTCTCACACAGCAGAGGGAGTTGCAATCCCCAAAGGAGCAGGAGGCCAGACCTTTTATACAGTTGCTTTAAAAATTATTGCTTGATATGTTTTTCTTTCCCTTTATATCAGCAGGGAAAGAATGTCATCCAAAACTCATGGGGGAATACTTTGTTGGTTTTTTAAAATTATTATTAATAGAGTTGAATGAGGGATTCAGCAAACACAGCAGTGCAGGGTGATGCCAGTGAGGGGCACTGTGTTGACACTAAAATCCAGAGCAAGCAGCTCATATCTGTAG